AGTGGACAGACAGACACACATACACACACACACATACAGACACACTAACTGCAAAGACTCCCTTTTTGTGCTTCGCACACAGGAGTCAAAAAATTTGAATACATCATAACAAGAAGAGACTAAATTATGATGATACAGATAAAAAGAAACCAATACAAAAATATGTACTGGTAGATTAGATTGGAATTTGATTGTGCATCACAATGCGAGCAGAAATTCAAAACACTGAACAATGTTAAAATCAGCAATTCGATATGCATGCATGCATATTTAGAATTCACTTTTAAACATTGATTGTAATAGCATATGATACACCCATGTTATATCAATTGAGACTAGAGCAACACCCCCCCCCCTCCCACTCCTCCAACATCCATTATCTGTATTTATTTAAACTACATATTTATTTCTTCCTTTTTTTAATTTTTTTTATTTTTTTATTTAGAATTATTAGTTTAAGCACTTGACTGTATGTTTATTCAAACAGAATGATGTCAATAAAGTATTATTATTTATTATTATTATGTAATCAATATCTGTACTTTTTTAGGTAATTAATAAATCTGGACTGCACATAGAACTGATAGTAAAATTAATCTTGATGATAAATCTCTATAAATCACACATCTCTGATAAAAACATAGTATGATAAAAAACAAAGCATTTTGCCTTTATGTGACACATTAAAATTACACTGTGCATTTTATGAGCCCAGATTAAGATATCCATACTCTGAATGAGAAATTTCCGGTCGTGATCCGTATTTGTATTAACCCATGTTGTCAGTGATGAGCCATTACTCTCAGACATCAAAATAGTAAAACATCGTCCACACAAAGTAAGCAACTCTCATTATCATAAATAAGATATAATATATGTCTGACACGTACATGTAGATTTGTCTCCATGTTTTTATGCTCCACCATTTTAGTATTGCCAATTAATTTTATCTTTTGCATGCTGTCTAATAAAATGAATGCAGTTCCTAGCTGCTTACACTAGCCACCAACTATATTTTAACCTTTTTTATGTAAAAATGAAATCTTCCACAGTTTTTTTATTTTATATTATGATGAACAAAACGAAAGGGAAACTTTCTGGGTTTTTTTTTTCAAATTTCTTTGAATAAAAAAAATGGGGGGATGCAGCTACTTGTGTACTGTAAATGCATTAATTATTCACTGGGTTTTAATTTTGCTCATAAGTAAAGTCCGCTATTAAAGTTAAACACATTTGTGAAATTAAAACACAGTGAATATGCTCAAAAAATCAAAATTAGTGAAATTAAATGTCAGTGAAAATAAATGGTTTTACAGTATGTATATTCTGATGTCTCAGCTGTGTACTAGTACCTAATTTGAGCAGAAAAATCAATCAATTATGGTAAAT